TACTATTCATCTCAATCATCAAATATAAGCACAATTGCTTTTTGTTTTACTTTCCATACTTTTTTGTACAAAATTAAATACCTAAATTGTCCACTTATTCTCTCTTGAATTAATGAAACTTGTACTGACAGTTCTTTTTTCACCATACCTATCATTCATTTAAAAAAAGTCATATTATTATATTTAAACATCATTTCCAAACTTTTGAACAAAAAGGACATCATCTTCACATTTACGTGCCAAGAATATATGAACAAATAAAATTTGAATCCAATCTTTTGTCGTCTTGAGAAATCATTGTATTTACACATGTTTGCTTACCACCTCATTTGGTAATTTTCTTGTTGTTTGTATTTTTTATTTTTTATTTTGGAAATGATGCTCTTACACTCCCAAGACATCCCATATTATAATTCACATACTTCACAACATGAGTTGACGCTTTTGACTCAATTACAAAAAAAGTTTTATGTGTCTTCATTACATAATGCTTTATAGTCATTTTAAGATCCTTTTTAAAGTCAAAGAGTTGCCCAACATATAATATATCTCTTTGTATCCATGATTATGACTCATGTAACTTAGAAAAATCTATTTCTTGATCAGAGTATTCCCAATTAATCTTAGTGTAGTGTGAACTTATATTCCAAAAAAGCGTTACAATATTCGTATTAAACTTCCACAATATAAATTATTAAAATTGTATAAATAGTTCACTATATAAAATAATACCTGTTGATTGTAGTTGCATATCGCTATTTTTTTAATATTTGGAATATTCATCATTGAATATAAATCATCCTCCAAATCAATATCAGAATAATTGTCAAATGAAATCTGTCTTTCATCTTCGTAGTCATATTTTTCATATAGAAATCATACATTGACATCGTTTAATAATAAATAAATAAATATATATATATATATATATATTAATAAACTATTTTTTAATTAATTCATATACAATAACATGAAAAGTTTGACCAATCGCAACATCTACATATAACAACTACATTTATTTGATGTCGTTGTTGACATGCATTTATCATGCAATTAATGTCTTCGTCATTGCATACATATAAAACTATATAGTTTTCATCATTTGTATCTACTAAAATTTGTGAAATCAATCTAGAAATTACGTTACTACTAGACAATTTCAATTTTGTATGTATCTTTCTTTTCAAAATCTTGGAAGGTAATTCCATATTCTATCTTAGTCATTTTTTTGTTCCCTTCAAAAATTATACTCTCACTTTTTTATATTATACCATTCTAATATAAAATAACTACAATTTCACTCATCCTGCATAACAAAAGTTTAATTATAATATGATTAATGAAAAAAAGATTATTTATTTAAATAAACACTAATAAATAGATAATATAAACAAATTGATCTAAAACATATATTAAATATTACACCTCTAGTTAAATAAATTTTATTCATAACACAAAAAATTTATTTATTTCAACAAGTTGATAATCACGTAAAATAAAAAATAACAAATAATGATATTTTATTTATATTATAATAATATTTACTCTAAATACAACTATTATTTACATTATAGTTTATTTTATTTTTATTATAATAATATTATGATTACAAGTAATTTTTTTCTTTCAAAATATTATTATTTTATTTTATTAATAAAAAGTTAATTTTAATTACATAATTTAAAAGATAAAACTTCTAACCTTCAAGTGCTAGGGAAGAATTGCTTCAAATACTTCTATGAAGAATTACTTCTATCACCTTCTTCCAATATTTATGAAGAGTGAAAAATTTTGTTGTAATATATAGGGTTGTGCAGATTCGAGTAAACTATTTCGATCTGCAAGAATCTGAACAATCCACCCAATCAAAAAATGGATATAAATAAGCTTTGGTTAAGTAAAATACTTTTTCTAGATTAATATGGTTAAATAAAGTCAGTAACGGATATAAAATTAGGAAACCATCAGTACCAAAACTGACCAAATACATATGTGAATGTTTAATTTATTAAATATAAATCTCGAATCTTCTATCGTCAGTTTTTCTAAAGCTCCATCAATCACCTTTCTGTGATATACCAAGTCTCTCGCACTACTTTTTCTCGTCACTGTGAATGTTTAATTTGGGCCCAAGCTCAATTCCGTTATTAGGTCTTTAGGTTTTCATTGAGACTGTAGCATTTCTTTCCCAATGCACCATTTGTTCGTTATCCGATAAAGTCTAACCAAACTAACCAACTGATTTATTGAGCTATTCGATAAGCCTGAATCCAATTTAACCAAGAAAAAATTGGATATTTTTTTAAGTAATTTGATTAACTATAAGTAAGTAATTTTAGACCCGAACCCATCCAAAAACTTATTCGGAGGGCAAGTGTACCCATCGAAAAGTAATAAAGAGTTCTTAAATTAAGACCCTGAAACATCGTTCCACAAGGATTGTTTTCCAATTACTAAGAATTTTCTAATTCAATTGTTTAAGCTTCAAAGATATGAAATTAATTAAAACAAGAATTTATAAAATTAATTATAAACTAAGAGTAAGGAATACAATGCACGTCTTGGTTAAACTTATCGGAGAGAAACCTAGGGCATATGGGTTTTCTCATTCAGTCTTTTATGTTATTTTTCTATTTAACTCTAAATTCGATTTCTTTATGATTACCAATCATTCATACGAATACTATTAATACCCAATAGTCATGCAATATTAATATTCTTTTCTCTAAATTAACATCTTCAATAGTCATGCAAGACATCAATTTAGGAAAGCTTAAGGAACTTATGAACTTGTTAATTTAATAACGATTAGAAGAGAAAGATTGGTTTGGTCCACCTAATCTTTTGTCTCGTTTTACCCTATAGATTTATTAATTAACCGAGGTACGGTCGCCTAACGATATAATTAATTAGGATTAAGAAAGAAGCGCAATAGGATAAAATCTGATCACAAAACGAAAATCAAATTTAGATTCAAATATTAAAATTCTATAAATTCATGAACAATAGTTCTCATAGCCTTAGTTATAGACTTAGTTACTCATGCTAAAGAAAAGAACTAAAACAATCATAAATAAAGCTATAATCAAAAGAAATAGCAAACTAGAGTATGAGTTGTGTTCCCGGTCTTCAAGTACGATCGCTTGAAGCTCCAAGTCTCGTTAAGCATGTGCCAAGGATCCTGTGCAAGAGAGACAAGATCAGAAGTGTATCCGAAAGTCAAAGACTAAATGTAAAAACGGTCTTTTTACGATGCCTAAGATCTTCCCTTTTATAGGATTTGAAAACCCTAAAAACTCTTCATAATTGAGCTTCCCACAAATGAGTACAGTCGTGTAAGACCTTAAGCACGGCCGTGCATGGGCTCGAAGCACCCCCGTGCATGGGCTCAAAGTACCCCCGTGCTTGTTAGAAGGGTCTAGGCGTACTGACTGCTGCGAAACTCTAATCTTCTATCAATTTGAGTCCAAAATGCACCCAAAATTCACTTGCGGCCTCTTTATACCAAACCATATAATTAATATATAAATTAGTGTAAAACTCAAATAAAATAAAGATCAAATATGAATATATGAGCTGTAAAAGAGGGCATAATTACAGACTTATCAAAGTCTTTAGGTTTTAATTGAGACTGTAGCATTTCTTTCCCAGTGCACCATTTGTTCTTTATCTGATAAAGTCTAACCAAACTAACCAACCGATTTATTGAGCTATTCGATAAGCCCGAATCCAATTTAACTGAGAAAAATTGGATATTTTTTTTAAGTAATTCGATTAACTATAAGTAAGTAATTTTAGACCCCAACCTACCCAAAATTAACTGGTGATCACTCTTAGTAATATATACTTTTAATGTTTGGATAAAAACTGTATAGTAAAAAGAGGAACTAGTGCATAAAATACAAGACAAGTATCGACTTATCAATGACCAACACATAATTGTTGAAAGTTCAGTAACTAACACACTCGTATCAAACTAAAAGTAGTTGACACAAAAATATTAATATTTTACCTGATGACACGTATCAATAGAAGGATGAATGTTAACCTTTATTCATCCAATAATTATGTGTTACTATTTATCAAATTGACACTCTAGTAAAAATAAAAATAAATTAAAGGTGTTGGTAATGTGTGTAACAATACTTATAAACTTATGTCATTCTAACCTGAGACAAGACGAGGAATTAATTTTTTTTATCCTCTAAATTGAGAAATTATCTTGAAAAATTATTTTTCAATTCACCCTAATAAGACAAAAATTCACTAAAGTCTCACATTTCCATAGACATAAAATTATTATTTTTTATTTTAAACTAAATAAACATTGAGCCTTAAATTTACTTTCAAAATGAAATTAATTTTTATAATTAAAAAAATTAGATATATTAATGAAAACTGCTAAACTTTTTATAATTTTAATTCATCATTTTTTTTACTTTTGTCAAACTGAAATTTTTTTTTTTAAATAAGAAGTTAAAAAAATAAAAGTTAATTAATATTTTCAAGCGACATGTTAACTTCTTTTTAGTAAGAAGATTTGTAAGCTGAAATAGTAGAAGAATTTATTATATTAATTTTTAAAATTTAAAATTTTTGCATTAATTATTTTAATTTTTATTATCATTTTATAATAAAAGAAAAATAAAGTGAACATGTTTTCTAGACTTTTTTATAATTTTAAAAATTTTAAAAATTAAATTAAAATATCCTATACAATTGAGAATACAAATTTGACCGAAAATAGTGAAATAGAAAATATTCTTAGTTTTCAAAAATATTAAAAGTTGTCAATTATTTAATTGATTTTTAATTTTCAAGTTATAATATTCTCTCAATATTTTTTTATAATTTTTCTATCCCTCTCCATCACATCATATCACTCATTTTATCATTTTTTTTTTCACTTCCTATTTCTCGATGTAATTCTTTTTGTACAAATAACTTTTTTGTTTTACCTTATTTTTTAATATCCTTTTGTGCTGAATTAAATTAAAGTGAATGCTAGTTTATAAAACCAGTGGAGTGAAATACTCGACTATGTAACATTCAACAGTGATTCAGGGCTTCACTCTGAAACTGAATTGAAAGAGCATCATATTCATTACATAGATCAACCCGAAATGGCGAAACGCGACACATCAGATTCCGAGTCCGAGGAAGGCTCCTCAAGTTCAGCGTCAGACTCGGAAACCATGGCCAATGCGAAGGGCGTTTCAGAGTACGAGAAACAGAGGATGTCCAGAATTGCTGAGAACAGAGCCAGATTGGAGGCTTTGGGTTTGCCCCAAATCGCTTCCTCCCTCAAGGGTTCGCCTCAGACCAACCAAAAGGGTAAAGAAAAGGTTCAAAATGATGATGATGAAGAGTACGTACCCGAAGACGATGGAGAATTCGCTTCAGGTTTTTCAAGTGAAGAAGATGACAACCATAAAGATGAAGACTTTGCAGTTGAAAATGCTTCTGGGTCACGGAAAAGGAAGGTGGGTGGTTCATGTTTTTTTAGTAAATGCCCCATTTTTAATTTGATGTTTTATTTTTCACTTTTTTATTTTAAGGTAATGTGCTGTTTTGGTTCTGAAAGTGTCAAAGTGAGGACTTGTGTTGCATGTTTTATTCACTTTTATACAAATTTGTCTCTGAATGTTTCAATTTGTTAACAAGTTTAGCTTACCAATTAGGGTAACTAACGCATTGCTAATAAGTTTTACTTAGTCATGTTGTTAACTTCAAACGTTAAAAGTACAGAAATTAGCAGTTAGCACTCTCCAAGACAAAGGGTGAGTTTTGATACATGGCTTGTTTGATTGCTTATTCAGTAAGCTTATTCTAAACAATGACTTGTGTTATAAATTTAATAATGACACTTATTGGGATAAGTCGAAAACAGTTTATCTTAATAAGTTATACTAAGAAACTTATTGAAATAAGTTGAAAACAACTTATGTTTTTTTAAGTTGTTCATAAGCTCTCCAAACAGGCCATGAGTTGTACAATAATTTTAGAAAAGACGCTTCTTGTAAAGTGTTTTGATTTTAATGAAAGGGTCTTCCTATATAATCTCTATGGAATCAATAAATAGTACGATTTTATTGAAAATCACGTTAGGATACATTGAAAATCATGAGGAAGAGTGCATTATTATTTTTTCAATAAAATAATTCTACTCTTAATTTCTTAGTCAATGTCGTAAGGGTACAAAGGATATTAGTTAGTATTTTCCATAATGAAATTGGGTTACTAGTAGTTTTTTGTTCTGTTTTTTACTTGCTCCTTCTTAAAATTGAGATATTTTTGTTGGTAAAGTGTTCTGTATTTAGCTGTAGTCATTTTTGGTCCGATGTAAATAATGAGATGCTTTGGTATTGTGTTTTGTTACTAGTTATTGTGCATAGACCCTTGACTTGTGGTTTGAAAGTTATTTTGACCTTTACAATCACAATTCTTTTACTTAACCCCAGTTGCAGGTAAAGAACAAAGGTTTGAAAACAAAAGGTAGAGTTTCTGGGAAGAAGCATGTCAATAATTCAGAGAACATTGATGATGATGATGAAGCTTTGAGGCAGGTAGTGCTGATGTTTACATCTTGTTGGTTTTGTTTTATGCATCTTAAACATTTTGTAATGCTGCTAATTGCAATGATGCTATGAATAGAAGCATATTAACTGTGATATTTGTGGATAGGCAATTGCTCTTTCCCTGCAAGACTCCAAGAATGTAGTGAACATTAGCAAGACTGAGAAAAAGGGAAGCAATCACATTCAAGAAGATAAGGGAAGAAAGAAGAACAAAAAACCGGTTTGTATCAAGTTTGATATTCACAGAATTATCTTGCCATCTTTATAATTCTTTTGGTTTGTATTGGAGCTTTTTAAAAAAAATGATTGTGTCAACTACCGCAGTTTTCGAGTCGGCTGCAAATGACCGAGGATGAGCTCATTGTTCACTTCTTCCAGCTTGATGGTAATTTGATAATTTCTGTTGCTGCTACTTTTTGTTTGTTAGGCACTAGTAATAGTGGTGCGAGATCAATTGAAAGCCATACTTATATCACCATCAACTATTCATCAAAGAGAACTGTGTTTTCCCTTAAAGTTTCATCTTATCATGCCCATATTAAAACTGCACTTGTTGAGGTAATTGGAGTTATATGTAAGCCAGCTATTTTGATCCATTTAATTTTAAATGGGAAACAGTGGCTACTAGAAAAAAAATATTCCAAGTACATAAAAAGCAATATGGTCCAAGAAACGACACTCTTGCCTTTACAATGCTATAGTGTTTATTGTTATTCTATAAATCATTGGTATTACTCTCTTCTTGTGCATCTATTGATTTGCGAATATATATGCACCGTTATTTCAACTTATAACTGTATATTATATGTTTGAAGTATCAGACAATTGTCATTGCTATGGATGAGGAAAACATAAGTTTTTTTTATAGTTTATTTGACCCAATATTGTTTTAGAAGTGCAGTTTCTTTTTCTTTTTTTTTCCATTTTTAAAGAATTAAGCTAAACACAACTTATATGATAAGTTTTAAACCATTAATCTTAAACTGAATAATGCCATCAACATGTAGTTATTTTATCTAGATTAAGTTTTAACATATAGATGAACAAAAGAAAGCTTTTTCCCTCTCGTATTTGTTGCTGCTTTTAACTCATGCACAGACTGTTGGTGATTGACAAGTAAAATTCTGTCATGCAGAAGCGGGAAAAGGAACTATAACAATAAGGGATCTACAAAGGGCAGCTACGGCTCACGACTTTTTATGGACAGACAAAGAGTTGGTTGATATGATTCGCTGCTTTGATAGTGATGGAGATGGAAAGGTAAGTATCGGCAGACCTTTGATGATTTTGTTTTCAGATAGAGGTCAGGGAGAACATAGAATAACCTCAAAACTTTATAATTTTCGACTTGAATTTTGGTGGGTAATTGCTAAAACTTTAGGGAATATAGTTTATATGTGGGCTATATGTTATTTATTCTCTAGGAGTCTTAACATGGTCCAAATATGTTGTGGTTATTACAAGTACTATGCATTGGTTATTCATTTCTTTTTTTATAGCTTCAAGGTCAGAAAACGTAAGTATTCTTCCTTACATGATTACATCATACAAATATGAATATTGGTGATTTTGACTCCTTAATATAAAAGATTGTGGAAAATTACCAAAAAAATTTATGTGCATAATGTTGTTGTTGATGTTGTTATTGTTGACTACTGAACAATAATGAGCTATTTTGCAGCTAAGCCTTGATGATTTCCGGAAGATTGTTGTTCGTTGCAACTTGATTAAGGACTAAGGAGTCTTGAATCTTGAAAAGATTTATAGAATCAAGGTTAGAAATAGAGATGAAATAGAAAGATATTATAGGTTGACTAATATACCATTGTCATTCCTTTTGCTCTTATTGGTATCGCTTTGAGGGTCGAGGCCATGATCACTATGTATATATATTCCGTGGAATGACTCAGATTTTTATTATTCCTTGAATCCCATCATTGCTTTATAACTTTATAGTGTTACTTTGTGTAACCATATTCTCTCTAAAAGTTTCCACTTCATCCAACCTGATCTAATTATAATCTTGCCTCACTCACCCAAATTTCTAATATCAAGGTTAGCAATTGATCTTCTGTCAATTAATCTTCCTCCCCTTCCCTACACAGGAAGAGGGAGCGAATCATGTAAGAACATTTAATTATTGGAAAAAATGAGAATGATAAAAACTGAACATTACATTTCATCATTCATATGTAATTGTATGGATTATATATATAATAAAGAGTTTCTAAAGAAGCCAAAATTATAATTTACTAATACATTACGTTTAAAAAACAGTTTTAGTTTGGCACACAAAATTTCAGTCTTGAAATTTTAATTATAATGTTTGAAAGTCTTTATAAAACTAGAATCACAATTTCAAGACAAGTTTATGAAATTATATTAGAAGTGATTAATTATTAATAATTTTTAACCCATGTCCTTCGAGAGCCACAATTCTTAATATTAGAACTTCTGCTTCTTTTCCTCCTTTTTCTTTTATTCTTCATTCTTCGTCCATTTATAAGTGTCAACCACTGTAGACATTAATTTATTTTACACTATTTTATGCACTTATTTATTTTTTAAGGTTTTCTACACTTATTAAAATCATTCTTTCTCTTTCTTTTTTCTTTGTTTTATTTTATTCTATTTGTCATGTATGTGTGTGAAGATGGAGCCCATAGTGCAGATAAAAAATATCATTTAATTGATTTCATATGAATTCAATAATGAAAAAGTCTTAGCCTTTCTTTGTTCAAACAATTGTAAGCCTAAAATTAGGCTTTAAAAAGTTACGAACATTGATTCAATGTTAGGAATCATGACATTCATTCACTTGTTTTTTTATCATCATGCATGACATGCCGTTTAAAATAGGAGAAATTGGGAAACAAGAAAAGGAAAAGAAAACACAATTCCAAGAACTTTCTTCCTTATTTTTTTCTCTCCTTTATTTTCTTTTTTTTCCTCTTATATCAAATAATATAAAAGTTACTGAATTTCATAGTCCTTTGGTTTCCAACAAAATATTTCCTTCTGTCAAACGAAGCAGTATAAATTTGGATACCAATCATGATTAATGATTGTAAACGCAAATAGTTATAAAAATCTAATCAATTCCTCTCTTTTTTCACTGAATGATTCTTTCCTGATGATTATTATTGTAAAAAGCTTTCAGGTGAAGACAACAATAACCCTTGTATTCAATTTCCATCAAATGGACAGTTAATGGCAACTGGAAATTAACTTGTTACTAACAAAGTGGCCCTCATATTTTATTAAATCTCACAATCCCATTTTGCAAGAACTAATAATTTTTATGAATAATACCTACCTCTTTGCATTTAGGTGACACTTTAGTGGCTGCCAGTTGGCACTAGGTTAGTTAATGACGGTTCGTAGTCCTTTGAATCAAAATCTAATGCATAATTTCGGTTTCTTTCTCTTAATTAAAATCCAGTCAATTAATTTAAACTCGCTTAACTCAAAAGCTTGTCAAATCAAAAAAACCCATATGTTCTTTGGATCATGACTATAACAATTCAATTCATTATTTTGGTGAGTGGTTAGCTCGCGGCCAAAACTCAAAAAATTAGTGGGTGGTTTGAGATTATCACCTGTTTATAGTCTTAATTAATTATTATGACATATAATCACACTTTTTAATTAATAATAAAAATTATAACTATACCACATGTCATTAAATGGTCTTAACTATCCAATAATATTCCCCAAAACTCACATTATCAGTTAGTGGTATGTCTACAAACTGTGATGATATCTAGAATTGCATAGAAATTGTTGCCTAACAAGTTTATCCTTTTATTTGGCATGATTTGTATATGACAAACCCATAAAATAAAATGATGTAATGTGTACTGATCGAATCCAAATTTCTTTCTAAGGTTGTCAGGTATTTAGAAAGAACAAAGAGGGGAGGTAGGTTTCTACAATTACGTTACATGGTGCATATCTGATTCTTGATAGAGAAAACAATTTTTAAGAATTCAAATTCTCATCAACAATAGAAACCATAATGCATTTATGAAAGAAAAGAAAAAGAAAATATAAAAGTAAAACAATTTTGTGAATATCTATATGACTTTAGGCATATAAAAGTAATGAACTTTATTGAAAATAAATAGTCACTACTTTTATATTATTGATATAGTAAATATTTTCTTTACCAATTCTTAGATGTCAACATTTTCTTCAATAAAAATTGTCTGCAAGAAAAAAAAACTACATAGAATGTGAAACATGATAGTTAGACAACATTTTAAATCATACAATTTATACCCATGAGTCTAATATGACAATTCTTTTTTTAATATATTTGTATTCCTTATAGTTTTTCCTCAATTTTGATTTTTATATTTTATAAGTTTGATTTTAAGTCCCTATAATTTCTAAACCACTAGGAATCGGCCCCAACCGTCACACAAATTTTGGTTATCATCCCTACACCATGAGAAGGGGACCATTTTAGATGTCATGCAAATGTTTAGCTGCTGTTTTTGTTTGTGATGAAATGGACTGTTCTTGTAGGAACTTTACATGGCGAAAATTTGAATGTCAAGACATTTGCTACATTTAGAAAAAATTTATTAAAATAGTTTATAACTTAATTTTTTTTTTAATTTATTTCAACTTGTTGCATTGGAATGAGGTAGATGTAAGATCTCTATAAGCATTTTTTTTGAATTCGATACTATCCTGAAATGAGACACTGTATCCTCTCTAAAAGTTTTATAACAATTTATAATTTATTTTAATAAACTTGAGTATAATTTATAAAAATAAATTTTTAATTCATTCTAAAAAATTATAATTAAATTTATTACATAAATTCTTATATTATGAAAATTTATCAAATAAGTGTTCAATTAATTTTTATTTTTTTTTTCAAATACATCCTAGATTAAAGCCGTGAAAGTAAAATGAAAAATTTTGTTACGCCCGTGCTTGATGTGGAAAGGTATAGCTAATAATTGGAAGCATTGGAAGGAATCTATTGGTAATTGTGTAATGGACATGACATCTGATTTTGTCTTTCCGAAGAGTGTCCCTCAACATGATTGCCTCTGGGGTGTTGAAAGCATTAGTGTCTCGGATTGGCAAAAACACTTTCCAATGTCTTTTTCTACGATGATGTTTGTAGTATTGCAACAATCAATTTTCATCATCCTTCATGAAAGCTTTCATCTAGTGATGAGTTCTCTATTGGATTTGCATATGATCTTGTTGCTGGATGAACTCAAATTTCTTCATCCCATGAACTATCTTACCCTCAATCTGAAATGGTTAGCAGAGAATTAAAATGTTCAATTGGGTCGTGTCTTGTGACTTGTGAAGAAAAGAAGATAGGAAAAAAAAAGAGAAAAGTGAAAAATATAATGTGACTAGATTAAAAAAAAAGAGAGATTGAAAAAGATGTGATAGGTTGATATTTTTAATTGCCAACACACTTATTTCATATGTTAATTATTTAAAAGAAAATAATTAACTATAAAAGAATGTATTATGTATTGAAGAGTGTGTTGCTTTCATCTCTTATTTTATAAAATGCAGCAAGAATCATTCGACATATATGGCGGGAATCCTCATCTGTTATAGGCACATAAAACACCACTACTATTGTTAAGTGCTCGTAGCTCTTGCAATTTTTTTCAAAGTAAGGGATTGGAAATAATACAAGAACAAGACTATAATAGTAATGTATAAATAACATTGTTCACTTCACCTTGCTAATTATAACTTCGGAACAATATGCCCAATAATGGTAGGTTATGCTGACAACACCAATACACTAAGGAATAGAAAAATACCAAAAATTAAACAAGAATTTTAATTTCTAAAATTTTCAACGTTTCATATTTTTCAATTTTAAACTTTATTTTTAATTTCTTAACCCATGTCATTACTCATTACACAAATCAATTTTGAAACAGTTAACAACTATCCTGAATATAGAATAAGTTTCACCTACCATGAAGAATTATATGGCTTCATAATATTGAAAAGCACTATCATAGTGCCAATGACTTTGCATTATGGGGACGCGGATAATAGGAGCTGCTAAAGAATTAATCACATGTACCACATAAGATAACAATACAGTTTCCATGATACAAATTTTGTCCACTGTCTATGATTTGCTATTGCCGAGAGAAGTAGCTATCTCTGACCACACATTCCAAATTTCTAGGAGCAACACAGGACAATAAGACAACAACTGTTTTTTGCACATCACAAACATTTTTCTTCTTGATGCTTTCTACAATTGATCATTTTGGAGAATCTGGCAATCACACAGGTCACGTCCTCTTCAATAGCAAACCCAAAATGATGCCAATGAAGCCAACAAGAACTACATACATGAATGGTACACCACCTCGGCTTCTGCTGGCTTCGCGCCTCAAAAGCTCCTGTGATGGAAGATTCCAAGCCAATCCAAAATTTTATTTACATGAGAACCATAAATTTCCAAATAATCACCATATGGTGCAAGTATTAACTTCTTCACCAAACACTTAACAATTATGGCAAGACTAAATTAGATTCTAACGCTAGGAATGGATTCTCTCATGATTAAATTTCACAACAATGTCATGTGTAAGATTGGGTTCCATCTCCCTCTTGATAGATAATGAATAAGTGTGACGCTATTAAATTAAGGGTCTTGCTAATAAGACATCGTTTCAGAAATCAATAAATAATTTTTTTTTTTAAAAAAAAAAATTCTTGGAATGCATTATAGATATCACAGGAGTAAGTGCCTTTTTATGTTTTTCAATAAAAAGTTTCTAATTTTAATTCTTCAGGGTTTTCCGAAAATTAGTAAGTACAAAAATAGATACAAAACTTACACGACCTATCATATCACATGAGAGGATCCCCTCCCATTAATACTCAATTAGGGAAAATGATCTTTTGTCTGAGAAGTGTAAAGAATCTGAACTATTAAGTGTTCAAAAAAGCAAAACATAGAACCAAGAAGAGTGTGAACTCTAGTGCAAGGCTATCATGACTACTTACTTCTTAGTAATCAAAGAATTCAAAACATATTAGGCAATGAAAAAGGTCTCATCTTCCTGGTTTGGTTTCCGTGGGGAAGTGACAACTATAGGAATACTGAAACAGACCATCTAAAACTATAGGCGAAAAGTAAGGTGAATGGTAAATGGGATAGTTAATTTCAGAAACTTGACTGGTTTGCTCAGGTTGACTTTCAAAACTAAACACCAACCAAACTAGTACAATCAGTTAAGGAAAATAAATAATCCTATAGATAAGCTGAAACGGAACCAAAAGCTATAAAAAAATCATAAAGTAGCAATGTAGCATATGTTCCCTCATTTTACTATTTCTTGTTATTTGGAAACAAAATTAGTTTAGAAACTGGAAAGCAAACAGGTTCCCTTTGGTTCCTCTGCCTCCACTTTCCCAATATGCAATCATTTAAAATTCAGAAAAAGGTTTTAAGATATTCAGACACTCTTGATTCAGGAATAGATGACTAAGACAGCCTTATCTTTCTCAAACTGTAACTTCAGACATAAAAACGAACATTGAATTCAATTCAATCTAATAGTTGCATAACATAACCAAATAACAAACTAGAAGAGTAATGGAAGGGTATATCATCAAAGGATAAAGATCAAGACTACCAATGGAACATTCAAGAGAACATGTATACACTTGATTAAAAGAGTTCGTTTTACAGAATGAGATCCATACCAGTTCTTGCTGAAGCCTTTTATTTTGCTCAATAGCAGAATTCCTTTCCTCATTTACCTTTGAAATATGAGCTCTTGCCTGAAATAACAAGATATATTCAAATTAGCACCAGTTTTTCTGAATTCATATCTCACCAAGAGCGATCCAGAGCAGTTTTTCTTTGAGGTAGAAGAGGTAAACACTATAGGCAATGTGTAAATAGATGACACAAATCAATCAACTTTAAACAGTTCATCAGCAGGAGAATTTGATAACGATGCTTAAATTAAAAACCAAAGAAACTCACAGTACCACAAGACCATGAAAGATCATTTATAAAAAGCCAGTACAGTATGGGGTAAATAAGTCCATAAACTCCCGAAAACTTATAAATTTATGCATTTCAAATAATTCCAACCACCAAAACTAAATTCGAATTATCATGACACTCAATATGATATCTCTAAATTGACATGCAATTTATGCAAACCGATCCTTTTGGCTAGGCTTGTTTGGGGATCAAAATTTGGAGTCAAAAGAAGATATTGTTGCAGGCATGTTTGGCTTGGGGTAAACAGCCAACATCAAGCATTACCTTTTCCCAAATTAAAATGTATTCTGTGCTACATAGCAATTATAAGAGTATATCCTCATTTTAGTCCTCCAAAGTTACATGTATCACCACATAAATCTTTCAAAATCGTAGTCAACACATTAATCTCTCAAAGATTTCATCTCACCATATTAATCATCCAAAGAACTTGTCACCACATTAATCCCTCAAAGATTTAATTTGTCACCAAATAAATAAGTCTTTCAATGATCTAAAATGGAAGTATAAAGTGGTAAGAAAAAAAATCTTTGAGAGACTAATCTGGAGACCAAAATTTTTGGAGGACTTACGTTGTGACACATATTTAACTTCGGAGGACTATATTGATGGTTTACTTGAAATAATAATGATAACTGATCTTTTTATTTTTCAATTGAAAAAACCTAATCAGAGAAAAGAGGGAAAGTTCGACTTGGTGGAGGCATGATATCATTCTTAATGACAAATAGCATAGATGTTAGAGATACGTATGATATAAGTCACCTCAAATGAAGTATCCTGATGGTCACCCCGCTCAGTGAAAGCTTTTGAAGCCTACAAAACCAGGTTATCACAACAATTAATTACCATAAAAAAGGTGAAGATTTGTTTGAAAATATATGCAAACCCGCTGATTGATTACATACCCCAGTAAATTCCAAAATACTTGAATGTCCATTCTCTGATACAGATGCACGTGGTGATGAATCTTCGTCGGATCCTTCCTTAACCGGGGAAGGTGGTTGAGGAGGAGCAACATAAACAACTCTCAATTTGCACTCTTCAACATCATGGCCAGATTCTTTATTGAACTATATCCAATTAGCATAAAAAGCCATCAATTGGTCAAATCATGCAACATATCGCACATTTAGCAATTCTATCAAGAAAAACCGACTTATTGGTTGAATGGTTACCATTTCCGGAGTGATATCTTTTGTGGTTGCCCCAGCACTTGCAATTACACTTTGAAGAAGAAACTTGTCCTTGCATTGCATGTCAGGGGGTGCCTCCTTTTGAGCTTGCATTGTTACTGAAAACACATAAAAGGGACAGTTACTTAAAAATGTTAAAAAAGAAAAAAAAAATTCTATAGCACAACTTAACCCTAAAAAATTACTAATTCAAAATATTTCACCATATAGAGCCAAGTAGCACACATAATCAAGTAAAAAATTGTTTCTCTATGCATGCATGTGTGCTTGTTTTTCGAATGAAAGAGGGTTAGTGATGAAGAGGTGAATATAGAAGGAGAGATAGAAAAAGATACCAATAATATCACATGTAGACCTAGGCAACACAACTCCAGTGTTAGGTCTAACACAATACTTCTTCGGATTTGTCGTTTTAACCTGAAACGCAATGAATTTCACTCCAAAATCAAAATTGCAAGTCTCAATATAACACAAAATTAACAAACAATTTTACAAACTAAACAAACGGAAAATAAATGAAATAAATAAATAAAAATAGAAAAAGTAAAAGAAAAATAAAGAGTAAAATTGCAACCTTGAAAGCCACATAGTTATCTGTTTTGTTAGACAACTGCAAAGAGCATGAGATCTGCTTCCTCAATTCAACTATTCCACAAACACAAAACCCATAAATAGAAAATAAAAAAATAAAAATTAGAACAAGACCCAGAAGCAGAAACCGAACGAGAAGGGCAAAAAAACGAATTTTGCATAGAAAAGTGATGATCTTTGTTATTGGGAGAAGCGAAGAAGCTCACAGGGAAACTGCAGCTCCTGAGGCTGTATCTGGAGTAGCTCGCCGGAACTCATGGCGGCGGATCGGAGAGGATCACCGGAGAGAAAGATCAATGAGGATTTTCCGGCGACAGAAAACGGTTGTGTTGGTAGAGAGAGTCAGAGAGCCGCAACTTGCAAAGCAACAACGTGGGACATCATTTGTTTGTCTCTCATCTATGGAAATATTTTACATACAAAGCATCGAAAGGAAGGGTACTTTTGTCATTTCATTTTTCAAAATCATGACCACAATAGCTGGTCCCATCTCTACAAAATAAATAAATAAACAAACTGACTAAGGTGTACTTTTCATCTCTTTACTTTAAATTGTATGTAATTTTAATTTGATAATTTTTAAATGATTAAAATTATTTATTTTTAGTCTCTTTAATTTGAATTGTATGTTATTTAATTGATAAAATAATTTTATTTATTTATTTTTAAAGTTATAAAAATTAAATTTTTGTATTTTTTTAAACTTTTAACCAAAATTTTAGGAAATCTATAATGAATAGGAATATAAAAAAATTTTAATGTTCTGGAAGTAAAAGTTTAATGTAATTAAAGAATGTTATGAGATTAAAATTTGAAGAGAGAAAATGTTGGGTTTTTTTATTTTGATTGATAAATCTTCAATAAAAATATTTTATTTGATAATTTAAAAAAATGAGAAATTAGGAGTTTAATGTAAAAAAAAAAAAAATCAACGAAGAGTAAGTTCACTATAAAAAAAATTGATAACTGAAATTGCACAAAATTTAAATTAAAAATTTAAAAACATAATCAAGTCAAATAAATAAATATTTTAGACAGTAGGAATAACAATTTATGTTTAATAAAATGATGTAATTCTGTCAAGGTAAATAAAAATATATTTATCATGATGGCTTTTTCTCTAGTTCTCCCCACATCATGATGTGCTTTCTTACTTGTGTAAATTTCATTCTCTTTTTTCTTTCCAAGTTGATATTATTCTTAGTTGGTTTCTTAAAATAAAGCATATTCTTTTCTAAAAAGTTTAGTTTGAGTCCACCGGTTTACTCCAGCAGGAAGTATTTCACAGTATTTATATAAAAAAAATGTTTATAAGATTAAGTAAATAAATTAGAAAATTTTAAAATATTATGACTATTTATCATTTTTTAAAAAATTTCAACTTTAGCTTCCTACAGATATTGAATAATAAAATCTATTTTATATTTTAAAAAATATATATGAAAATTAACGAAATTGAATACTTTAAACAAATTTCACACAACGTTAGTGAATTTTGATTGTAAATTTACATATGCAATCAATGATGATACATTCAATTGGTTGCAAATATTTGTTGACACAAACTACTAAATTTATTAGTAAATGTTAATATTACACTTTAATGCAATTTTAAATATATAAAAATAATACTCTTTTGTTAAAATATAATAATTTTTTAATCAAAAACCATTACCATTAAATGTTTAAATTTAATTTAATTAAATCAATATTTTTATTATAGTTTTTTATGATATTTTTGTGTCACTTAATACTTTCTAGATTTAGAGCAAATCAAAAAACGTATTGACTGTTTTTTTTTTTAAGATGACTTTTATGAAAAATGTCAGCTAATATCAACAAATTCATGTCAACTTGAAGATAACAATGATTAATTGAGTTATTTTTTGTGAACATAAAAATTCAAGAGATGAGCTTTGTGTCATTGTGAACAAAAGGTGGAGATATTATTTGAAATAATTTTATGAAATACATGTTCTTACGTGTGGATAAAAATATGTAAGTAAATAATGTAGAGATAAATTAAATACTAATGGAAAGGTTGCATCATTTAATTCCATTAACATGTAGATTAATAATAGTATATATGAAAAGATAATATTAAAATTTTAAAATTTTAAATTCTTCCATTTTTAAATTTTTAAACATTTTAAATTTTTTTTAAAAAAAATTTAATTCCATTAACATGTAGAGTATGTATGAAAATATAATATTAAGATAATATTGGGACCTACACAAAAAATTCTTCCATTTTAAATTTTTAATGGGATCCAAATTATCTGCAGAGATGTTTGTAGTTAATTTTATTTCTAACTGTTATAAAAGATAATATTTTATAGTTTTGTTTTTCGCAAGAGGGTTGCAGAGGATTCAAATTCATCCTAGTAAGGAGAGGAATGGTATTGGAGATTTTTACATTTTTCTTTTATTTTTAAACTATAAAATTAAATTTTAGTTTATTTATTAAAAATGTTTATATCAATTTATTTTTTTATCAATACTTTTAAGATAATTTAATTAGTTATTTTTACTCTCTATTTTTACTTATCCAGAAAAGTTATTTTTTCTCTCTCATTTCAATTTATCTAAATAATAAAATATTTTTCACTCAATTTTCACTTTTCTATCCTCCTATTTCTTTCACTTCTATTTATTTTACCTCTCATTCAACTAAAGGGCTTTTTTATTTAAATATTATAAATTTAAAAATAATTTTTTAAATTATAGATTTTTTAAAACTATTTTCCTGTTTAGGGTGATTTGGTTTATGTGGCATGCTGTTTCGTCAAAATGGCAGGCGAAAATATTAATTTTTTTTTAAAAATAACAAATTTTGTCACCTAAAGTACGAAATAATCAAATCATGACACGTGTAAGCATATGAAAAATTTCACAATATTTATAGTGAAATTAATAAGCAGTTTCGCCACGAAATGTGAGAAACTTATAGATGGTGACATGTGTCACAATCTTAATGAGTTTTGCTATGAAAAGTGAGAAACTCTTAGATGGTGACACGTGCCACGATCTTAATGAATTTTGCCATAAAAATTGCACAACTTACGAAAAGTTGACAAGTGTCACGATTTTAACCTATTACGCAAATTAAATATAAATTATTTTAATTTCTTATAACATTATCATCATATCATAATTAAATAAAATTCTAACAAAATTAACTAACATTATACCTAAAAATATTTGTTTATTTACATACTATTTTAAATTACATCTTAATTTAAAAATTAAAATTATTAACATAATTAAGCATAATATTTTTTATCAGTAGATATTAATTATAATTATATTAAAATTAAAAAATAAATTACTAACATAATATCAGAAAATATTTCTTACATTTATATACAAATTACTAATGTAATCACAATTTACTTTCATTAATTTTAATAACATATTCAAACTAAATCTAATTTAAATTTACATACAAATCAGACCATATTGAAAATAAAAATAAAATAACTAACATAATACTGTAAAATATTTTTTTATTTAAATACAAATTTAAATTATATCTTAATTAAAAATTAAAATTACTAACATAATTAAGCATAACAGTTTTTATTAGTAGAAACTAATTATAATTACAATAAAATTAAAATAAATAAATTACTAACATAATACTAGAAAATATTTTTTATATTTATATACAAATTACTAATATAATCACAATACATAATTTATTTTTATTAATTTTAATAATATACTCAAACAAAATTTAATTTATTTTTATATACAAGATCATATTTAAAATAAAAATTAAATTACTAAAATAATAATAATTTGTATGTAAATATTAAAAATATTTTCTTGTATGTTAGTAACATATTTTTAAATTTTAATATAATTATAATGAATATCTATTGATAAAAATTATTATGCTTAATTTTGTTAATAATTTTAATTTTTAAAATTAAGATGTAATTTAAAATAGTATGTAAATAAAAAAATATTTTTAGGTATAATGTTATTTAATTTTGTTAGAATTTTATTTAATTATGATGTGATTATAATTTTATAATAAATTAAAATAATTTATATTTAATTTGCGTAATAGGTTAAAATCGTGACACTTGCCAACTTTCTTTAAGTTGTGCAATTTTTATGGCTAAATTTACTAAGATCATGACACGTGTCACCATCTAAGAGTTTCTCACTTTTCATGGCGAAACTCATTAATATCGTGACACATGTCACCATATGCAAGTTTCTCACTTTTCATGGTGAAACTGCTTATTAATTTTACCATAAATATTACAAAAATTTTCAGATGCTTACACATGTCATGATCTGGTTATTTCGTACTTTAGGTGGCAAAATGTGTTATTTTTAAAAAAATATTTTCGCCAACCGTTTTGGCGAAACAGCATGCCACGTCAACCAAATCACTTGAGACAAAAAAATAGTTTTAAAAAATCTATAATTTAAGAAGTTGTTTTTAAATTTAGAATATTTAAATAAAAAAGCCCAACTAAAGATGAAAGAATAGCAACAATGTCATAAAAAGTATTTTTTATTTTCGCAATTAATTATAAAAGCATGGGCTAAGTATATTTATTTTAATTGGTTCTTAAAAATATGTTATTTACTAAAACAAAAAGTGATATAGATTGTTAGAAACTAAAGGCATATTTAATCTAAAAGTATTATTTTATTTTAGGTTTTACTTTTTAATATTAGTATAAAAATGATAAATAAATTATTTACTTTTCATTGTTTTTTATAAAAAATTAAAAGAGTAACAAGATAATATCTTTTGTATTATTTGCAAGAAATTAGAATAATCTCAAGTAATAAAACTAGTAAAATTTAGGAAAATAATTTAAAAGTTGGGAAATTTTCAAATGTTAGATAATTTAATTAATTTAATTTAATTTCTTATATTTGTATTACTTCTTAAAATAATAAAATGTTCTTTACTCATAACATTTTTCATTTAGATAATAAAACTTCACAAAAATATTATTTGGTATGCTAACCAAAATCAAAATAATGTTCTCTTAAAAAAAATCAAAATATTGTAAGTCGTTTTTCATTTGCTCTCTAGTCTCTACTTCACTAAAAATTAATTAAATATTATTTTTATGGTAGTAATCAACTTCCCATTAATTTTTTAGATTTTTAGATATTGCACTCTGACAAGGAGATGACTTCATTGATTTCCATGACAATATTTTATAGGAAAAGAAAAAAGATTGATTAACCACTTGTTAAGGTTTCATACTTTTTTCATATTAAATTAATTAGTTCTTAGGTATCATATAATATTTCTATTTATATGTTTAAATTTATCTTAAAATGTTTATAATGTTAAAAATTGTATATTTTTTAACAATACCATTATTTATTATTTAAAAAAATTCACAATTACATTATAACTCTTTTAAGAAATACATTTTTATCAAAATAATTATTTTATAATAATAATATTAATTTATACAATCAGTAATTTTAATTTTGAAAAATATGCATTATTTATTTATTTCAAAAGGCAAATAACATACCTTTGGAGGAAGGATAAAAATATGGAAATGAACAATGACAGTGTTTTCCTTTCTTTAATTAATTGCATTAAAATGGCATGACAATTAAGGCTCACTTCTTGCCCACAGACCACGTCCCCATGACATTTTCTTCAACCCTCTTCCTCTCCTTATCTTTCTTTGCTCGCACATTTCAACATTTTCATTAATGCTTAAAGAAGTCCTGCACCATTTTAATTTTTGGATGCAAAATATATTGCATAAGATACGATTCAGATTCTTTGCATTTATGAACTGAACCCTGTCATTTAAAAAAAATTGTTTAAATAAATTTGATAAAAAAAGTTATTTTTATTTAAGTTAAAAAAATTAGTTTAAGTAAATTTAGTAAAAATGTGATTTTTACTTAAGTAAAAAAAATTATTTGAAGAACTTTCATTTTGTATCAATGACTATTTTGTTACAAAAAAAATCTTTACATGTATTATTCTACCAAATATTTTAAATGTATTGTCTAATGAATCATTCTATTAAGCATTTGTAAGATGTAACTATTTAAAATTGAGTTCAATTATTGAAAATAACTATAAAAATTATAGAAATAATGACTTTAAGAAATTAATTTAAAAATAACTGTAGTATCACATAATTGATAAAGTTTTTTATACATGTATTGTCAACAATAAAAATAACCATACGATCTTGTACAAAAATCTTCAAGATTTATATAGTTTAAAAAAAATTAAATTTTTTTATAATTTTAACTTAAGGGAACAGGTGACCTGTTTTTATGTAGGGTAAAAATAATACACATTTTTGAGAATTCTTTTATGAGTTGGACCAAAATAGTAATGTGTTTGAAAGAATTTACAAATTAATAGATTCTCATACATTTTTTAAAATTAATTTTGATAAATTTTGTTTTTGACCAATGGTTGGTGCATAAAAGTTGATCTTCATGAGTTCACCCATTAACATGCTTATAAAAGAACTTCCACAGGAAATTTTACTTACAATAATGAAAGATCATCGCTGCCTACTGTTCGTGCAAAGTTGCCCATCATCATTCGAAGCAACAAACATTATAACTCATAAAACTCGTAAAAGTACCTTTAATTTCTAATTTGACTTGTTTATGTATTAAAAATTTTCATATTAATTAAGAAGACAGTTAAAATATTTTTTCTATAAGAATTGGTTAAAATATTTTCATCATTGTCATGATTCAAATAACAATTTCATTAACATTACTTTTTAGAAATGACTTCAAACATATAATTTTTGTTTTTTTTTTCCGACAATGAAAGCATTTATTACATTAACGTAAAAAAGTGCGATAAACACTTTATTTTTAATAAAAGAGAATCACTTAACATAATTTGTAATAAATACTCCCTTCGTCCTATATTATATTACGTGTGGTTAAAGATTTTTTCACACACAAATTAAGAAATGTAATTAATTTTCTTATTTTTATTTATAATTTTTTATTATATCTCTATTACTCATTGACTAATTAATGAAATAGAATGTCAAAATTTTTTCATTAATCTAACACATGTTAAGATTATACATTAAAAACTTTCAACTGCTATTATTAAGAGTTATTACTGTATAATAATTAATAAAATCAAAAATTATTTAAAGAATATTTTAAGTAAAAACAAGTTAATGCATCATTGAAATGCTAATATATAGGTATTTTTTTCCTTCCAAAATGTCATTTATTAAGGGACAGAGAGAGTAATATTTTAAAATTTTAATTTTTATAAGTTTAGTCACATTATATAATTTATAGAATTAAGTTTTTTTTAATGAGAGATAAAATTCCATTATTGTTATATATATTTAAATTAATCTTAAATATTGATGTTTATATTATCTTCTTTAAATAATTTTATTTTCATAATTTTACTTTTAATTTTGACTGTCTAAACTCGAATTCATTCTTATCTATTAAAATAAAATTATAATCATTCTTTTGATATACTATTTGTATTTGCATTTCTTATATGTTTTTATTTATGTTTTTGAATGTTATATAAATTTAAAATACTCATGCAATACATAAAAATTGATAGTATATGTGAGTTTGTGTTCTGTAATTTAAATTGGTAATTATAATTTGTATATTTACTTCTTATGATAGCAAGTAAAATAATAATAATAATAATAATAATAATAACACAATATACCGCAAAGGAATAAAGGTGCATAACATCTTATAATTTTTTCTTCTCTTTCTTTGAACTACATTAAAAAAAAAAAAAAAAAAAAAAAAGGAGTGGTTTTGCTCTTCCCCTTTCCTTCCAATTAAATCTTCTTTCTTTCTCTCTCTTTCGTCAAGTCCAATTTAGTATTATAATTTAGGACGTAATTAGGTCATAGACATTTCAATTTCAATTTTTTATGTTTAAATTTTTTAAACTAAAATATATAATTTCATGTCAATTATTTAGAATTACAAAATATACAGTTTGAACAGTTTTAAATTCCTAACCTACCCTCTAAATATTGTCAATTTTTCATTTCTACATTGTTCAATCACCAATTCCACCAAACAATCGAATTAATATCTAATTCTATAATTTCTATAATTCAATAACAGAATCTGAAATTCTAAAGCAATTATAAGTTTGTCATATTTGAAATTAAAAATTATTATTTTAAAAATAAAATTCTAATTTCATCATGTAAACACATTCAATGGTGCATTATTTTTTTTTAATATTGTATATTATGTTATAATTAGCTGACGCTGTAGAATGATTAATTTCTTTTTTGTGATACTAACGTTCTTGGTGTTCAATTATACAAGGGTATCAATTTAAGTGAGTCACAAAATATTAATTTTAATTAAACACTTATTAAACAAATCCGTCCATATGTTATAAGTGTATTCAAAAGATATTAATACCTATTAGGTATTCAACACTTTAAATAAGAGGAGTGTTCATATTTCAAATCACTCTGTTTTTTTCTATTACAATACACTTCTAATTGCATGTTTTCATAAGAAATAAAAATTTATAAATTAAATTTCAAATTTTTTACAAAAATAGAAAAATAATATATAAAAATATATATTATTTACTATCAAGCACATGGATTAACTAACATAAAGTTATTTAAACTTAACTAATGATCTCAAGTTCAAATCTTAATGACGCATGTGTATTGAATATTTTTAAGTAGAATTTTGCCATCCACAATAATTCTATTTGGTTGAAGCAAAATTGATTATATATGTGATCTAAATCATAATAATATATACTATTTATATTTAAACATACAGAAGAATAAAAAATAATTGGCAAAATTAGAATTCAGTTGTATTAGCATGCATGAAGCTTCTGTTAAAACAATGGTAGTTTTGTAGCTTCAAGAAAATGTTTACAATGTCATCTCTAAACTCCAACAAACACTTGTAAACTCTGGCAAACACAAACAAGTTTTGCTTTTCAATTAATTTTCCAATGCATCAGCCACTAAGGTCCACTACATGTTGATGTTACAACAAACTTCATACGGGTGACATAAATCAGAAGCCTAGGCAGCTGAGAAAAAATATTTATGTCATCACTTCTATGCTTCCTTACTGAATCTCTAATTCTTAAGATAGTTACAGAGCACTTGTTTATGTCACCACTTTGGCATGCTTCCAACATTTGCAGACCCGGTTCAATATATTGCTATAAAATCCTAATTAAAATAATTTACAATGAACAAGATGCAAATAACTTAAGATGGTTATCTTAACATAGAAATTCAAGTCTTCATATAACTAAAATACTTCAATATTGTTGCTTCCTCGCTCTTTTTCAATTTCTTTGCTCATAACTTTGTAAACATCAAGATTAGTCTCATGTAATTTAAATTGAGGAAGGTTTGTGCAAACTATGTTTTCATTAAAAAATTAATATTTCAAAGTATAGTTTTTGACTCATTTGGATTACTTATTTTTTTTCACAAGACTCAAACCCAATATTTTACGTAAAGAAATCGAGCATGGAAAACTTGTACCAATATTCGAACACTAAAGTAAAACACAAAGCCTTTAAAGAATTTAAAAGTTGATAATGAGATTTTTGGATTGTAAAATACGGAATATTCCCTCAATACCTCGCCATTTATAAATGGACTCTGTTTTCATATATCTCAATTATCCACAGATTATGAGCACTCCTTTTACCAGGGCATTCAACTAGACAAAGTCAGATTTATCGAGATACATATTAAAACCATATCAAAGACAGAAGATATAGGAAGAAGAAAGAAAGATCCTATTACCCATAATTTATTAAAAATATAATAATAAGTGCATAAACTTTTCCTTCAGCCATCGACTATATAATTCTTCTTCCATCTTCATAAGTTGAGGCACGAAACAGATCACCCAATTTGTTCACAACTCGAAGATAACACACGAACAAAACAACCATTGATTACAGCATAAAGTACAGTAATTAGATAAGTTTTGTATGTAATTTACTTGTATATATATATATATATATCTATTATATGTGTGCCACTATCACTATGGTATATGGATGAGATGGAAAGCACCTATAACTAAATTTAAACCATATCTACTTACACTATAATTTGTTCCTTTCAGAATATCTTTACAATGGTATTAATCAGAATTCCCCATTGGCAGCAGAAGTATCAGAAGAAGACAATTGCTGCTTACGAGCTCTAGCGGTTAAACCAGCAAACCAAGCAACTCTCATTAGCTGCAGCCCGAGAATTAGCACCCACCAGCAAACCAAGCCCCTAATTGTATGCATCACCCATACCGGTGCACTGAGCTCAACCCCAAGCTTTAATCCCCTCATTAGCTGCAAGACACGGTAAGACTCGTAAATGACAGGGGTAACGAGCCAGACTGGTGATTGCCAATGCCAAGTCAATATCTCAGTCAGAAACTGTACTGACAAAAGAAGAAGATAAGGACCCAGAAGAACTGCAAATGAGATGAAGGGTAGTTGTGGTAGGAGAAAGCTCTTCTCAGATCCAAACATCATCAACAATGGAATAATAAATCCAGTAAGAGTTGCAACAATGTTCCAGAACTGGTAGCTGAAGGGAGCCTTGCTGTTGCTTTCTTGTGATGGATACTTTGGCCGTGAACAAGAGTCAGCCATGAGAAGAAAAAGGGTTGCACCAAGGTTAAAAATGCAATCAAGTCCAATCAAGGAAAGTAGGCTGGCTATATTGGGGCCAAGAAAGATCGAAGATATTGGTAACCACAATGTTGGGACCATGCCAGTCGCAAGGAGAACTGAAGGGCCTAGAAACCACAGGGGCCATTTGAAAAACTGAAGCTGCAGACCTGGCTGATATTTTTTCTCTACAAGCCCTTCAACATTTGTGGTTGATGAGTCAGCTGTGTTACTAGATTCAACGGTTTCAAATATATTGGCATTATTCTGCAAAAAATTATCACTTTGATTATCAGTAGGAGCATATGTGACAGGTGATGACTCCCATGGTGTTAACTTTGTGCACCATATGCAGGACTGATTAATGTGAATACTAGGAAAGGCGAGTCCTTGGAGTTGAAACGGTTTTCCAGATTTCAATAATCCTTGGCTTCTAGGATGTTGCCTTCTGAAACTAAAGGGATGCAGTTGATAATGAGTTTGAGTTAATGATGCCATTCCTCCATTCATTCTTTACTGCATATGCTCTAAAGGGTCTTATACTCTTCTGTTATCTTGCACCTGAAGTTAAGAAATAACAAAGTTTTGATGAAAAACACTGTTAACCTCCAAAATCAAGAAATTGAAGACTGTTGGAGTGAGTGAGTACTGGGATAAGAAAGCATACATCACCATCTTGATGCTACTTTAAGCAGAGAGTAGGTAGGTTTAGCAAATTTAAAAGGAAAAATGAAAAACAAATAAAAGAGCTATTCAAGGAACATGGACAAATTGAATTACAGGACCACTACTGAGAATACCTAATACTGTTCATCAATGCTGAAAGTGGCACACCATATGTTCCCTGATAAGTCAAAACTAAAAATAAAGTCCATTTCCAGCTTCACTTTCATTTCTTTTCTCACTAGTTTCCAACTAACAAAAACGAAGAAAGTGGAAGATATACTTCAAGTGTAACAGATGCAATCCAGGTCAAAAACAGAAACTCAGCAAGATTTCAGTGTACAAAGTGGTGTAAAGGTTTGAAGAGCGGTGCTATTTGCAAAGCTAAACAACGAAAACAAAAAAGGAAACCTTCAACAAGCAAAAGCAGTAGCCTTTTCTAGTTTCATTATGCAATATCACTAAGCTCAAATGCCAAAACAGAAAGCTGAAATACGAAACAAATCAGCATAGTAAAAACTACAAGTCAGACATAACTTAGGATTTTAGTTTATTTTCTCATCAGATGAAAAGACGATCTACTTAACTGTAAATACTTTCTAGTCAACTAAGATAATGAATTAGTTTACTATTTTTAAATGCGAAAAGGAGTTCGCATCATGGTGCATTTTCTTGTCAACAGCAAACCAAATCTACTGAACTCGAAGTACAATCAAGCAAATGAAAAGTGAATTTTGATCAGCCAGAACTCTCCAAATTTGCAGATTTCAGATGTTCAAAGTTCAAACTTTTTGGGATTTATGCCACCAGTATACTCACTCTGTTTCAAAATACCTATTATTTAAAGTAATCACATAAGAACTAACAAAGTATTAAATAAATCCAAAAATTAAAAGAAAAGTAAATGCAATTGACTACATTACCTGCTGTTAACATCCCCAAAATATTATTACCAATTAAAGCTCTGATATTCCATTTGATAGAGCTATCTAAAAGACAAGGATAAAATTGCCATTGCAAAAAAAAAAAGAAGAAAGAAAATCAAAGTTTTTCTTTACTTAGGCCGGCATATAAATTGAAACAAAGGGAGTGTCCTATGAAGCCGCAATACTTAGTATGACATTAATATGATATGATACAGATACAAGGAAACAGGAGATTTTTGAAAATTCAAGATATGATATGATGTAGCTACAATAGCATGAATTCAAAGAAACAACATATTTTATACACAAATAAAATATTTATAAAGATATATTGATGACTAATTCATATTAATGTATTACATTTGCATATTAGAACTATATGCAAGATGAGACTCATGAGTGCTGTGAGTTGTCAACCATCATCACCGAACCACAACTTGCTAGCCAGCACCACCAAACTGTGACCCAGTAACAAGTGACTTTAGCAAGACCCAAAACCACGGCTGTGTGTGAAAGACTTGAGCAATATACTAGAGTTCTTCAATTTTGTGTAAAATGTTACGTGTGAAAGCTTTGAGCATTATTGCATATGAGACTCATAAGAATCACAACCCCTATTTGTGTTAGACAGACCCATGCTGCCACAAGCTCTAGCTAGAGGAGACGAGTGATGATGATGGTCAAAGACTCTGTCTCAAGTGTTGAACAATCATGAAACTGAAACTGTTTCAATATTAACTAAGTTAAACGTATTGTATCTACTAGCCAGAAGCCATACTCAGATGTATTGAGTCGTATCCCAGCTGTATCTACTGGCAGTAATTTATTTTTCAAAATAAAATAAAAAATAAAATACTTTTCAGATACATATGATCTAATGCGTGTCCTACCCTAATTCTTCGGCCAAATTCGAGTATCTGCAGGCTTCATAGGGAGTGTCTATTGCAATTTCTATTTAACTAATTTTTAAGTAAAATACTTTTATTATTAATATGGTTATTCAACAACAACCAAGCTTTATCTCCCTAGTTCAGTGGCATCAACATAAGGGTTATATGAGAGGAAAAAGAGTAATTTAAACAAAAATCATTTACATGGGAGTTACATTAAACACACCCTAAAACAAGAGTGACTATCTAAATGCATAGATGTTTTGAGAAGAGTTATTTTATTCTTACAATTAATTAATTTTCCCCCATCTCTCTGTTGTATTATCCATTTTATTACACACCTTACTCTCCTCTCTTCCTATCTCTCTCCTAATTGTTGTAAAAAAACATAAGTAGAAATGGAAATTCTCTATTGAAAATGAGGGAGAATCCAAAACAAAAGCTTGTGTTAAATGGCCAGAGTATCATCAGAACCAAACTCCTTGGTCAGAGAAACCAATTCACCCAAACTTCTAAACACCTTTTCACCGAGTTATTATTTTTTATGATGAATATTAAACATTAATACTCAATAAACAAGAATTATTTCGATAATTCCCTATGCTCTATGATTTGGCATATATTGCAACGCTAAATTTCACAACTAACACTTTGACCTCGATGCAGTTAGAGCTGAATCGAGGGACATCACAAGCGCAATTCGAAGCAGAGATGATGGACCAAACAAAGAATAGAAAATGATACAATTGAATTGAGAGGAAAAGAGAGAAATTGAACAGAAAGAAAATGGAGAGTGACCTTTCGCTTTTGGTGAAGTGGGTGGGTACCGAAGCATTGCCTTCCCCGATTCAAAGGAACACCGTCCCCAGGTTAACGCTTATCACCTTCTTTTACTCTGATGTGGATCATAATAAACAGCAAATCATTTTTTTTCTGCACCAAACCCTGTTCTTGTCGTTATTATTATTATTATAAATTCTAGACTCATTAGATCAACTGCGAAGAAGAAATCTGTAAAGCGAAATTACATTCATTCAAATTTTTATAAATAACAGAAATATAAATAAGAAAATGTATAAAATAAAATAGATTTAAATAAGTATATATAATTCTTAAAAAAATTGAGAGGCTGTTTTTTAATTTCTTATATTTATTTTTTTAAAAATTATTTATTTTTTAATTTATATAATATTTTTCATAGTGATTTATTATTAATTTTCATTATTTTTAAATCATCTAATAATATGATATGAAGTTAATGTATATAACAATCCACATTTTACATTAATGTATAAATTATAAACATAGTTATATTAACTATATCTTAGAAAATTATTTTCCATACACATATATAATTTCAAATATAATCGATAAATTTTATGTATTTTATATATTTAATAATAGATTATACGTTAAAATAAATTAATATTATAAAATATTTACTAGTCTTATCTTTTAACAAATTTTGCAATACCAATTTATTTAATATAAATTTTTAGATTAACACAATTAATGTATTTTATAACTTATAAAAAGTTATTAAATAACGAAAATTTATATATATATATATATATATATATATATATATATATAAAGAAAGAAAACAGAAAAATAGATGTGTGTACTTGTAATATTCTGACTAGTTTGAATGAAAAATAATAATAATTAAATTATAATAAATATTTACAAAACTAAAATTAATGAAAAAAATAAAATTTTAATTATAATTTTTTAGAAAAATAAATTTAATTTTTATATTTGAATAAATAAATATAATTTATGCCCGAAGCCTACCTCTTCTTTCTTTCCATTTAACATTTAAACTTTCTTTCTTGACTAACTTTTCTCCTAAATCTCAAGTACACCACATTGTGAGCATATATTTAGGTAGACATTATCCTCTGAACGTGCGCCTTATGGTATCTGCTCCACAGGTGCAAACGATTTGCGTCATCTCACAACTTTTTTTAACTTCGTGTAATATGCAGGCAATAGTCATTTGATCCTGTTTTAGACAACCAATCTCTTTCTTGACCTGAAAAATTCGTGGGGCATTGCTTTGGGGAAAACGATTTTGAAGATCTTCACAAACTTCAAGGTAGCGTCATAAAAATTAATACTATCAGCAATATCAAGTGTCAAAGAATTCAAGATCCTTCTATATTACAAAGAGTTCATAGACGTTTCTTGGAAACAGAGAGGAAATTACCAGTTGTAACTTTCTTTCCCCCTTTCCCCTTCTCTAAAACAAACCACTTCAGTGTTGCCTTTGACACCTCAGAGGACAAGCACTTCGATGAAGAAACAACAAGGCAACTATTCGTATAAAAGTTGGAGAAAAAAAGTAAGACCACTGATGCAGGAGTTCAGAATACATATTGAAATGTTATGTTAATAAAATATTTTTAATATATAGTTAGAAATATATAATTTACATTAGTATAGAATTTTATTCTATTTATGAGTGTTAAGTCAATTTATGGTTATATTTTTAAACTTCATCCCGTGCATAGTCAACCATGAATTACAAATAGTAATTAATCTAGCGTACTTTAAACTTGTAAGAAAAAAGTTAAAATTGTTTAATAAAATTATTTCACTATCCAATATTATGGCCTCAGATCCTCCGTAATTGGATGTTTAGTTTACTTGATTTTGTATTTTTATTTAAGTTAAAAATTTTCGTTTAAGTAAAAGTTTAAAATTTTGCTTGATTAGACCGTTAAATTTGCACAAAAGTGGCAGAGGATCTCTGTTCAATATTATGGTGGTGTAGACAAACGTTTGCTAGTGGAAGAAAGTGGCTAGGAGCATTAATCTCCACTTTCATAACTTTATCCTTTTTCCAAAAGTTAAACAATCAAATAAAGGTTTCAACCTCTTTGGTCAGTGCAAGCTTTAACATAAACTGCCACTAATGCCATCCACAAAAAGCACATAACTCCAAGATTTAAGTCGTTTCATCCAACTGGGTTGTGATAACAATATCCTTAAAAAAAGGTTGCTTTTGTGAGAATTACGAGCATGCATTATCCTCTGTCTATTTATATGGCCTCTTGTGAGGAAGACGTTTATTTCATCAGAACAATATGGAAGGATCTAAATTAGAGAGTGAAGAGAGAGTGCAGGATATTGATAAGCATGTTCGTATTCCAATCCACAGGTTACGAGCCCGAAGACTTAACCTTGCACCAAGGGTTAGGCTGAAGAATACCTCAAGGTTAGAGTAGACTAACACTGCTCAACCATATTTCTTTTAACCCTTTTTAGATTTATAGGAAATTAATTAAGAAAATTAAGCCATCTTACACAATTAAGATAAATATCACCTTTGTGTCTTTTTATTTGCCCCATATTTTTCATCCACCAAGTAATTGAGAATACATTCATGAGAAAAATATTTCTTCAATAAATGCATTGTAATGGATACTCTATAAACAAAATTTGGTGTAAAACATTTTAGTATATATTAAAATGCAAGCCATGCAATAGCATATCATAATAGTTTAAAATCCAAGTCCATGTTAAAAAGTCATAATCTTTTAACAAATTAATAACTACTAATTAATTAATATCGTAATAGAATAGTTATTTGAAATTAGTTTAAAGACATTCTAGCACTAATATAAATAAAAAAATTATAATATTATGCAGCCAAAAGTAAAAGAATATAATTTCTCTCTTTTATATTTTTCTCTCCAAGACATAATTATTTATTTCGTTTTACTACTACTTTTGTAGCAAACAAACTACCAAAAAGGATCAGCAGCTGGATATGGCTGCATTCCCATATCATGAGATCATCATGGTTTTGAATCAACAATTCCTTGGAGCCCTACAAGTAGAGTATCAAAACAAGAGCAAATCGCTTTCTGAGACACACCCAACTCATGTGTGGACTTTCTTAACTTGCGTATGCTCTTACAGTGTGGTTCTTGGACTCAAAATCCTTCTTCAGCGTCGCAGTGACCACTTTGCTTTGATGTTCAACCATGTTCTTTTGGTCTTGGGATCACTTTCTTCAGCCTCCCTATTGTCCATTTTCATGTCACGCTTGCTATTTTGGTATCTAGATTTCACTGGGATATACATATCACTAATGTTGGCTCATCACTTGCTCAAAAATCAATACTTGAAGGTTTTAAGAACTGTATTGACCTTAGCTTGTCAACTTCGAGATCATCTATGTGCCTGTTTGGGTTTCCCATGAAATGGACTTGACGAGACAAGGTTAACTTAATTTTAACAAAGCTGCAAATGGAGTTAGGAACATGAAAACAATAAGAGCTTAAATTTGTTTTATGAAAAGTGTTAGGAACATGTCGTATATTTTAAATTATTGAAAGTGATTTATTAAGATTTGAAATTCTGTATAGGTCTCATGTTTTATTTCATGTATTTAGTGTATTTTTTTATTTGTTACAATTTAGTTTATGATTTTTTTTTATAAATATTAGTAAATTTCAATTAATAGTAAAGACATATATTACATGAGACAATTGAGGCTATGACAAAGAAAGGACAAATCGAAAATAGAAATGAAAAAAATAAATAAATTAAAGAGTCATCATTAAATTTTTAAAGAATCTTAAAAGAAATTAAAAAAATTTCATTCAACCAAATCTAGATTTAAGAACTTATTTATGCATGAGAAAGGTATTACCATGTTATTTCATTCTAAAAGATATGTTTATTTCATGCCAAAACAAAATTAGTTTTATATTTATTTATAAAAGAAATGGTTTATTCACAATAGTAAAATCTTTATAAATATTTTTATTTTATATTTTATAGTATATTGCAAAATAAAAAAAAAAGGGAAACATGCTGAAAATAGTTGAGTTTGGCTACTCATACATATTTTTTATTGTAATGAGAAAATTAAAATTACACAATTTTTTAAAAAAGTCATTTTTGAAAGGTATAAATTTAAAGAAAATATTTATGTAAACCTCTCTTGAAAGATGCTTGAAAACAGAATGAAACCTTTTTCAAGGCATGTAATTTTATAGTAAAAAAAGCCGTTGAAATTTATTTCAATCAGAAATATTTTTTTTATAAAAAATTAATTATACATGTATAAAATATAAAATAATATAGTTAAAATAATACTTTTATAACCTATTACGAATGATAAAAGTAATATATATATTGTAATTATTAATTATTGTATAAATTAAAAATATTATTTTAGATTTATAAAATATGAACATAAGAAAATAGTTATTTATCTTATATTAGAAATAAAATGTAAGAAGATTTAAATGCACATAAGATAAAATAGACTTAATTTTTTTTTATATACTTTTTAATGTGTATGCAATTTTGGCCTCGTGTTTTAAATTATACACATTTAATCTCTTTACTTTTTGAAATGCTTAAATTAAATCTTTCATCCAAAACTAAGACTTTTATTATATTTTATACATTTTATTTTATATTTGTATTTAAATATTTAAATATTTATTTTTTATTTATTTTATAAATTAATAAAAATCATATTTTAAACATATTTTTAATTTGTTAATCATTTGATAAAATTTTAGGGTGGAGAAATTAAATTAAGCATTTAAACAACTAGAGCAACTAAATATTAGTAATTAAAATTAAACAGAGTTCTTGAAGCTTGTTTGTCTTAAATTCAAGTTTTAGTAAACATAACTCTATTTGAAGTAGATTAGATTGTTTAACAAAAACCTACAACTTAGTTTATTTAAAGCTTACTTTAAGCTTAATTCAAACTTATAAAATGCTTAATTAAATAAGACGTTCAGACTTAGGCTTCATAGATTCTTCTTCTTCTTCTTGTCAATCTCATAGTCTTTTGCTCCGGCCGGTACATGTCACACCCTTCAACTATAAAAGATTTTCTTCGTATTATTCTATCTCGTAAGTCATATTTATCGAACGTTTTTTTTTTTTTTTGGGGGTCACAAAATAATATGCTTCATATGATTATATATTAAAAGGATAATAATAAATTTGAATTCATAATAAATTTTATACTTCATATATCATTTTTTACTATAATATGCATATTTATAATTATATATTATATTATATTTTAAACAGTAGAAATATTAGCTTGTACAAACTTTCAATCTATATTACTATACAATTGATATAATTTTGCAATAATGTCCACTCCTAATATCTTTGTATGGAATTTTTTTTGTTAATTTAAAATTTATTAAATTAAAATTACATATTACCTTAAATTTATATTAAATTTTGCCAAAACTAAACTACAAGAATAGAATCAAAATATTTTTATTTATATATATTTTACATGCATATCACATTAAGTTGGACATGCATAAATGAGATAAAGTAATTTTAGACATCGGTAGATATATAATATAATAGTTTAAATTAATTTATATTTTAATAACATAATATACCATTAAAATAAAGTCATGCAATTAAGTATCTATTATTATTGTTTTTTTGTATAAAATTTTATAAATTTAATCTATTTAATAAAATTTTGCCAACTAATTATAAGATCAGTAAATTTTGTACTTTTTAAAAAATTTATTAAGTAATATAAGTGTCTAATTTTATTTTTTTTAAGATAACAAGAAATTCACTAAGAGGATGTGGCAGAAGAATGCCTATCTATCTATCTATATATATATATATATATATATACACACACAAAGGCTTACAATAGCTAAATTTAGATGAGCATGAAATGAATTACTTTTCCCGTTTTGTTGGTCTAGCATCAGGCAAACGTTGTAACACTGAAAGATTATCTAAACTGTGCAAGACATCTCTCATTGATGGACGGTTTGCTGGAAAAAATTCTATGCACTGCATAGCAAGTAGAGTTATTGCAACACCATCTTCAGCACAATAACACCAATCTTCCTTCAGAGTTTTGTGGACTAGAGAACAATTCGGCTTGTACTCATTCTTGGCCCAAATATGCATTAGACTATCCAAGTTTAAGTTGCCATCTTTTCTCTTCCTAATGCCTGAAATTCTTTTGGTTATTAGTTGAAGCATAACAATGCCTAATGAAAACACTTCACTGCTTCTATCCCATTCACCACCTGCCATTGAGGGAAGAGATTATTGTCTACTCTAAATTCAATCTATGCATTACAGACCGGTTGAATGACATCTTTTTTTCAGCTTAAATAAGATTTTGTTTATCTAAAAGTTCATATACTTTCACTAGAACATGACACTAATGAGATGTGTGTCATTACTAGCATCATATCTCTCATATTTCTAATGAAAATTTAGGTTATAAGGTTAGGTTCTTGTCACATTATCTTCCACATAAACTTCATGTCATATTATGAGAGACAAGTTAGATACCATGCAAGCAGATAATGGAAGAAATTAACAAATTACTAACAAAAAGATTATATGAGAATGAAAATATTTTTTTGAGAACTTGCTTAGAAAAAAATTAAAAATGAGGGATTAAATATAAAATTTATTAATTAGAAGACCAAAACTTTATTTAAGCTTAAATTTAAGAAATGCTAGCAACAAACTCTTAAACACATTCTTTATTATTTAATAAAATTAATTAAAAATCATAAAATTGATTAAACACACTCTTAACACTACTCATACATATTAGTGTTTGTTTAGAAATTAATTAAAATCACATGAAATTACGTTCAATCATGAAAACTATAACTTTGTAGCTTTGAAAATAGATCTACGTGTGAGTGGATTTAACATCAATTCAAACACACACTTAGTCTTTGCAAATAGGATTATGTTTCATTTTGATTCTTTAATTAATTTATTTATTTTTGCTAATTTTAGACTTCATAAATTTTAATGTTTTTTTAAAACAATCTGTCATTGTTTACTGATCACATGATGTCTAAATTTTAATACTTGTTTTGAAGTGATAAGTGATGTGAATTATTTTCTAAAATTTATAATGATTAAAAACAATTACAAAAATTAAAAATTCAAAATTTAAATTTTATTATATACATAGACTTAAAAATATATATTATTCATATTTTTTTTCTCAAACAATTAGAATATTAGATTAATATCAAACATCTTCACATTACAGGACTAGAAATTTTGGTTTAGGCACTATACTTATCACGCAGTATAATAAGTACATAGACCAAGAACGAGTCTTTATGGGTTAATAATAATAATAATATATTTTATAATGTCACAGCAGCAAAACAAATAAAGGGAAAACATTTTCAATGCATTTTAAAAAAATTACCCTTTATAGAAAAATAAGGATCGATGTAGCTAGTTGACATTGTTAATTCTTCCTTTAGCATTTTCACTTCGCCAAGTAACAGCAAATCAAATAACTGTGGCTTGTAATCCTGCGCGAAAAAATAGTTATATATAATAAATTTAAAGTTTATTTAAAAAATACTCATTATAATGAATAGTTAAATTAATAACTCATACATTAAATAAATAAATATATCTACTATAAGAATAATGGCTAAATGTTTAAACACAAATCTCATGATAAATAAGAATATAAAAAGAATTTAGTAATAAATATATTTAAAAATATGTCATTATTTTATAATTTGGACTGCAAAATGTTAGTAGTTATTTTTTATAAATAGAAAAAAAAAAAGAGATGAATATATTACATATTCTACTATTCTATTATTTCTAATAAAAATTTATTACAATATACTCTTAAACACACAAAAATAATCGATATATAAAATCATTCAGGAGCAGAGCAGAGAAGAGGATTGTTTGTTTTTATTGCCATAATAGTGTGCTAACCTTGTCAAGAAGGGTATGGGATGCACTGATATTTAACACCATATTCTGCTTCTGGTCATGAATGAAATTCAGGAGTTTTGCAAGCTCATGAATTACATTTGTTATCTGAACCCAATTAAGGCTATCTGTCCCAGCAAAGAAATCATGTCAGAATATCAAAGTATATCATTTATCTTTGTTTCCTATAATACCTCAACAATTCAAGGACCAAAAAAGAAATTTTGAAATGATTCCACAATTTGATTTCTAAGAAATACCCATCTACTAAAGTAGATGAATACCTAATTATAAACATACCATTCATCAATAACAATAAAAGGCCAACAACTCGTTAGAGATTCTTTCATTTCTTCCTTAATTAAAACTAGTTTTGAAAATTTACTTCAACTATTGACATTTGAAAGGGATTAAGATTGTAGCATTTTGTTAACTTCATCCTTTAAGGCTGAGAATAGCATAAAAGTTTTTTATTTATAGATGCTTTAACTTAGCTCTAAGAGTTAAGGTTAGCAAAACCCAACATTATAATAAAGTCTTGTAAGGTATCGAAAATGCAAAACTAAGATAAAAGAATACCTTGTATTATTAAATTGTCTAAAGTATCAAGTGGATTGAAGTCATACACAAGTCCCTTTACATCTATCTCCCAAGTATAGCCAATCAAGGTCACCAAGTTGTGGTAACCTTCCAATGTTGGATTTATCCAAAACTTTACTTCCTCCTGCGAAACAGAAACGTTAAGCTTCCACAATCAGTGCCACACAAAATTCAAGTTGGAAAAAAGGATAAGAAAGAAGGTTACAAGAGTGAAAAGAATAGAAATAAAGAGAGAACTTGCTTTCATAATCAAATACTCATCATTATATTTGGAACTTATCCACTCCAATTTTTCTCTATCCCATATTTTCACTAATACACGTTGACCTTCAAGGTTGCCTCTAAACAATCTACCAAACTGTGTCAATCCAATGAGGTTGTTCTCATTGAAATTGCTGGTGCATGCTTTCAAGTTCTGAGAAGAAAACTGCAAAAGGGTTGTTGGGTCCATCATACCGAAGTTATAACAAAAAATGATATATGGGACCACATTTATATCTTGTGAACTTGATTGCCAACCCCTTTCATGAACGTGTCAACCTTTCAGCTCTAAAAAATTTCCTATTTTGCCTTTGACTTTGTTAGGTGAACAGCTATTTAAATATTTAATTTTTGTTCCTTACAAAAGAAATTTTTCATTTTTCCTAAATGGAAGAACCGAAGGAAGCGTGCAATAGTGGCCATCTATGTCATAAATATCTTCAACTATATTAGAGATTCTGCTTAGCTTATAAGACTCGTTCCATTCCATCATTCACCCACTTGCTTTTGTTTGTGATGCCACTTGAGAAAGAGATTGTTTGCAATCTTTTTCCGATTTTTATTATGAAAGAGTCATGGTTCAGAATCAGGGATCCATCATGTGCCCTTATACTAATTGGCTATATATACTATACAATGCTTTTTATTATTGATGCTCAGTAATTTACGTAAGGGAACAACCAACAAACATTTTAAAAGAAGCATGGTTGTTGATTAGATCATGCATGTATGACTTATGAGGACAAACAACAAGGATAGATACTCTTTGTCTCAGCACAAAAATGGAAAGCATCCAATATAGAACCTTAAAGGGTGATATTATCATATCAATAATGTATGCATGAAGACATACATGTATCGATACTCTTTCTTTGTTTCAGGCATTCACTATCTAAAAGTCACTTTAAACTTCTATTGATCCAAGTTACATGAATTTACTTCAGGAAATGAAGTTCTCTTAGTGCCTATTTTTTTATATGTAAGGCTTAAACCATTTACCTTACTTTAAGATAACCATAGGCATAGGTAATATTATATTTTAACTCAACAATTTTCACTGTTTTATACCATTTTTACTTTTTGACATTTCTTTCACTCTGTTTCAAATTAATCAAAACTTGAATTACTTTTATGTAAAAATCAAATAAATATGAACCCCATCTACTTAGAATTTCTGCATCTATGCAAAGATTTAAAGGACTTTAAAGTGAAAAACACGTAAATGTGAATCTAACGCAAAAATTACAAACTAATCGTGTTGAAGCAAACGTGAATTTAAACATACTATAAGTCATTGAAATATGAATACCTTCTATTATTTCCTTTGTACACCAAGGACACCATATCACACTCGAATATAATGTAAATACCTTAAGAAATAATTACTAAATTTTTAGCCTTGAAAAGGCTCTAATTACTCATATCAAGTAACTCAAGTGTTTCTTTATCAAAAGGATATATATTAAGATTGACTAACTAGTATCCTTAAAATTGTATTACATCCCATTATAACTATGTATTTTCTGACCAAATTGTTGTACCTATGGTCAACTAGTACATCATCATCAGTTTCACTAGACAATGGGAACAGCAGCATTGAGTTGTATTGATTGTATGAGATCAGAGTCTGGCAAGTTGAGAGGAGGCAGAGAAAAGGGACTTTGTGTGGAGCTACCATTTCTGATCTCTTGCATTGTAAGTAAAGCTGCAACTGTGTTTCTGAAAATCCCTTCTCCAGCCACTATAATGGCTTCTGTTGCTTCCTTTGCCCTTTCAGCTTCTTCCTCAGCTGGGAACACTGCATCAATTATGCTTTCACATTCCTTCACAAGTTTTGAAATTAAATCTGTTGTAAAAAAGGGTTGTTCCAGTACTTTCTGAATGAATGGCAAACGCAGAAGCCCTCCTGTTCTCTTATCATATTTCTTCAGAATTTTAGCCAACCCTACAAAACTCAAATATTGTCACTCATTGAAAACTTCATCAAATGGCAATAATCATCAAATACACATTGTTTAGAAAAGGATGCATCCAACTATGTTCAGCCGTGTATCTCATGGCAATAATCTTCAAAATTCTTTTTTTGTTGAAACAGCAAAATCTATAAAATTGCAATTTATAAGTAATGGCTAAATATTATAACAATTTTTTTAACCGTACCCAAGAACACATAATAAAAACATATGTATCGTAATCTTTTATTAAAAATTACACGATATCACAGAATCTAATACATTGATAACATTAAATGCTATAATTTTTAATAAAAATTCACTATTATTGATTTTCTATTGTGTGTCTTTAGACATGTTAAAAAAATGATGTTATAAAACACAAGGAGAATTCAAAACGTGAGAGACATTCCTGAAAAAACTAAACCAGATTTAGTACTTCCATCATTATGAAATAAATTACCTGTATAATTAATGTTGCTGTAGTTTACTAAGAGAACCATTTCACCATGGAAATCAACAATAGCTTTTCTGATTTTTGCCATCTCCTCCTTATAATCTGCTTCGGAAGGTTGACTACCATTTGGTCCCCATAAATCAACTACTCTCTTTATTCTATGTTGTACTTCCTGCACTAAAACATCTCATTATAAAATCTCATACTCCCCTTTATTTTTCAGTTTTATTTGTTATTATAAATTTCAAGGTAGCATATATTTTTTTCATTAGAATCATAAACAAGGCATCATATGTATTCAAAATATTAATTAATTAATTAACAAGAAAAAGTAAAAACCAGAAAGTGAAATAGTTTTTGCCTCATATCTTTCTTTAATTGCTTAATGATGTCAAAGTGGATGTGCTACCATTCCCTGAAATCCCTATGTGTATACAATTCAACAATAATAAAGACGATTTGATTCAACTCTATTGATAGAGAAGTTCAAGAAATTTAAGCCTCAATCTAAACACTGTTGAAGCTGCTCCACGTGAAAACCATAATTCTCCATTCAGGCCCAATTTTATCCCATGTAAAATTTTGTTAATGATTTCACTTTTCATTTATACATGTTAGTCGAACTATATAGATTATATTGCTAATTTGATGTTAATAATTTCACTACTTGGTAGTGTCTTATTTTTTTATTTACGTTTTCACTTGCCAACACTTCACCCTCCACTCTAATCATAATTTCCAACTAAGGTAGTAAGAAACTTTCAAACCTTTTACTGTTAATTAATATGCTTCAAACGAATATTCGTAAGGCATATACGACGAAGTTATGATGAAGAATGAATTGGTCTAAACAAAATTCACGCCATTCAATGACGGAGAAACCTGTTCCAACCCCCTCCCCTCCATATAAAGTAATGTTGAAAATGATGAAACAAGATTCCTAATCGATGCTTTATACCCAAAAACAAGTCTTTAATTTAAACGTTAAAACATAAATTAGGGCTCACACATAACTTAAAGCAAACTTCAGCATTTCCAAATAATGTTTAAATGCTACATACATTAGTTTACATCACAAGATATTTATAATTATAATATTCAATTTATTTCATTATTTTTAAAAATAAATTTTCTTCTAATATAAAAATGAGTGATACAATAAACACTCTAAAATTAAAACGTGTATTTTTTAATCAAGTGATTGACTCCATAAATTTTTTATATAACTACTTATTTGACTTGAGAAGATTCGAGTGCAAAATCGAAATAGTCAAACAAGACACATTAGCAGTGAACTCTATTAATGTGTCTTATCTCACGGTCTAAGAGTTTTATATTATTTTGTTTTATCAGTTAATCTTAGTAAAAAAATTAATTTTTTTAATTTATAAATTATATTATTCAAATTTTTACACCCTTCAATTTCTAAATAACATTGTTAAAAAAATAAATAATTATAATACAACAACATAAGGATAAATTATCATTGATAAATATTAGTTATTAATTATCATTTAATTTAAAGAAACCATAAGCATTATAATATGAAGATTTATTATAAAAGTGTATTATAACATAGGATCAAATTAAAACTCTTGAACCACGGATACAAAAATAAATATATAAAGATCAAAAGAGTGTACTAAGAACAAAGCAGATTACCTTATGACGGATAATGAAATCTTCCTCTTTCTCCATGAAGAACCCATTGAACTTGTCTATCTCATTGTTCAACAAGTACATAAACTCAGCCTCCGTCTTGCCATACTCCAAAGAGTCATTAAGCATCGGCGGCGCCGCCGATATCAGCCGCAGGAGCTTCTTCAATTCCTTGTAAGACAAGTACTTGTCCCTCCACTCCGGCAGGGTCTCCTGAATTTGTTGCTTCAGTCTCTTTCCAAACTTCATAACGTTAGAAAAGGCAAAATTTAAGGAAGAAGAAAATGTTAATAATAATGTGTGTATGTGAAGAAGATGATATGGCAAAATGGGTTGGTATATGATATGAAATATGATGATGAAGATGCAAAAAAGGGGTCTAAGGGGGGAATTTATTAGCAAAGGTTTGGTAGAATATTAGAAAGCATATGCTTAGCGTGATGAAGTGGCGGTTAGGAAAGGGTATAAAAAGGGTCGTTGGAGGGAGCATGAGAATTCTTGGAAGCATATTCGGTTACTATATTACTTCATGGTCGTATTTAAGACCATGACTTTGAAAATTAAACTTGCTCGTACTACTGTGTGGTTGAGTTTAGTAACTAGGGAACATAAGAAGTGGGGTTTGTCAAATGGGTGCTTTCTTTTTTTCAATCTTTACGTGTAATATAAGTTATCTATTTATTCATGTATTTTGTCTATGTTTGCATTACACATGCCCTATTCATGTTTTAGTCTTTGATTTCCTTTTCAATATGTTTATTAATTTTTATATTTTTTAACAAATAGCAATCAAAATAAATTCATTTTAATATATTAAAAATATATATACTTTATTGTTATTATTATTAAATAAACATATGTGGTAATAATATGTCCTTAAAGTACTATTCTTCACTTGTGTGTAGAAAAAGGTGTAATGTGGGATGTGTGGGGAGAGGATGATTCCTCCGAATCTACTAAGAATCGCTAATGGGAATGGAAAAAGTGTGCATTCGTGAGTATTAATTAAAGAACTAATATGTGGGCCTTTGCCAATTCTCGAAGGAACAAAATGAGGAATATGAGGATTTTCAGCCACAGCGCATTTGGCCATAATAATGCTTTATTTCTTTTTGTCCAAATCATAACTATCTTTCATACATGATATGCATAGAAAATACCATTTTAGGAGTATCATATATTAAACTAAAATAATCACGTATTAGTATTTGTTCGATGGTTAAATCATGTGAGATATAATTATCTTTTAAAAGAAAATTTATTAATATGTAAAAAAATTCTTTAATTCCTGAAGTGGGGCATGACCCAGCGAGGTACTTAAGTTTTTGGGGGATGACAGTGTTATTTGGGCACAGGTGGCAAAATCATGGGATATCTTGTCGTGTGTATAAGGATCAAGATTTTGAAGGTTTTGTCGTATTGGGTTTGATTTATTTGGTTATTTAATTTCCTTCAAGAGTGGTTATAATCAATTGAGGGTTCCTTTTAAATTATTAGTTCTTTTTATGTGTATTTAAAGGCACATAAAATGCACTTATGTATTATAGGGAATATTTCAGGATATTCGATAGAGTAAAATAATACTTATACGACTTTCCGTATTGCGTTCCTATTTTTGTACAATTATAAATACACACAGAAGATTTTGACTCTTCTGAGAGAATTAGTAGTGAGAAAATAATAGTTTATTTAAAATAAATATTTTTTTTAAACTATAAGCATGGATCACTTTAACTTTTAACTTTATATAAAAAATTCATATTTATTTTTTTCAATGTTACTTATTTAAATTTTTTTATCTATTGTTTATTATCTTCTTTATTAAAAATAAAATAAAATGAATGCCATTTTATAAAATCGAGGACTAAAACAAAAATTTTATAGAGTTAAGGATTAAGGCAATTAATATTTATAATTTGGAATAATAAAATGCGTGTTTACTTTTTTTTATTATTAATTTAAATTATAGTATGTTATAAATAAATATAACTAACTGAAAATTAATGATAAACATATTCTCATATTTATATTTTATACATCTTTTTATTTAGAGGAGTCAAATCTTAAAATTTAATTTATATAATTAGTAATAAAATTAAATTTAAATATGAAATAACAAATATGATTATGTTTGAATTAGTTTGATTATAATGCCAAACTTAATCTTAGGTCAACTAGATTAAAAGCAATTTGGATTAGATTGAATGCTATTTATTCTTATTTTGCTAACAATATTAAATAGTTTATGATTAAAAAGTTATAAAAACTTAGAAATAAAATATTTGTAAAGTAAAAACGTTATATTGAAAAGAATGGGATATCTATATATAATTTCAAACAAATTTGGAATTAATAAATTTATAAAAAAAATAGTAAATCAAATTGAGATGTTAAGATTGAGATCATAAATGGGTAAATAATCTTATAAATATTTACTTATACAATTATAATAATGTGATAGTTAGACAAGAGAATTAAATTCAAATTAATTTGTATATATGTCCGATTTTGATGACTTTGTCTAGAAAAAATCAATTTTATTAAATTTGTGTTTAGGTTCTTTCGGATTTGTAAAAGTAGAAATAGGACGGGACTACTTCTTGTATCCCGTAATTAAAAATAGAGATAAGATTTATTTATTTTTTGTGTGTAGAATTTGTCTTAATTATTTAGCTTATTGTTTGTTGAAACATTTTTGTAGGATTTAAGTTTGTGGGTAGTAGTGGACCATGTAAGTCTTTATTATTTTGGACATTATTTTTTTTTATAAAAATTCTCTAGTAAAAATATTTGGTAAAATATTTCTTTCTCTTTTAATATTTTGAATATCAAAATTAGAATTTGATAATAAAGTCAATTATTTGACAAAAATATGTTATAAAATAATATCTTTAACATTTTTTTTTATAAAACTCGTGGAACAACCTTATAATTAATCTTAATAAGAAACTTTTTATTAAACAAACAAGGAATGATCTCAATTATAATTTTAATTTTTCTTTATAGTTTCAATCATTTTTCTATCCAAATTTGAGAGTTTTTTTTTAAGTCTGGCAGATAAAAGGGTACGTATTATTCTAATACCTGAAAGAAAATTTGATATATAATTTAAATATCTTAAGAATCTTTATAATTGTTTTTTGTCTTTAATTTTGTTAAGAAAAATTTTAACAAATTTTAATGATTTTTGTATTGGTGCAAATGTTTCTTTGATAGATATTATATCCAATAAATTTTATCTTTATTTGAAATGTACTCATCTTTTTTTACTGAGACTACAAATTCATTTTGTTTAATTAATTTTATAAATTTAGGTGTTGATATATATATATATATATATATATATATATATATATATATATATATATATAACCCTAAACCCTAAACCCTAAATGTGTATGTATTTTTATAATAGATATATGATAACATCTTGATTTCACAGCAAATTTTGAAAATATATTTACTCTTATTAACTTGTTAATTAAATTTTAATTTATTTGGTAAAAGATATCTAATATATTTTAATACTTTATTTAGATGTTTATAATTTATTTTCAATTTAGGAGCTCCCATTTCTTGTTCAGAGGCCCTGTCGATATAAAATTTTGTATAACTCTAAAGTAATTTTGATGGTTTTATTAATTTTTTATCTAAGAATTCTTGAATTTCTTATTTACAAAACTTGATTTGTTTTTTATTCATTCATTTGCATGTGCTTTAATTTTGTTAGAACATTTTTTTTATTAAAATTTTATTCATAAGAAAGATTTATTTCATGTTTTTCTCTACCGTGGAAGGTTATAAGATTTGTTTTACAATTATTGTTTGAAAATCTTTTATTATTTTTTTTATTTTTTATGATTCTAATTGTTCTTGAATTCTTTTATATTCAACTTTTTATTAAGAAAATATTTTTTTTTATTTATCATATTTATTTTTATTGAAAATTCTTGTAATAAATTAAGTTCTCTAATTTTAGCAACCCATAGAAACTCAAACACTAATATTTTTTTTGAACCTCTTGCGAAGTGATTCATATGTTATTGATTTGGAAATGATATAATAATGTTAAGAATAAGGTTCCTAAAATTATTTCATTACTTATATTTTTTAGTTATTATAAAAGATGTTGTAAAATATATTTTGTCTTTGTAAATTTTTGCATTAGATAATTTATAGTTAATCATTATTTTACAATTATTAGCACTTGCTACTTTTTTTTTGTAATTTTTTTCAACATATTTTGTAAGAACTAATCTTTTTTATATACAATTTACATCTCCATCATAATCTATTAGTGCAATAAACATATATTTTTCTATTTTTATGACTAAGACTACCTGACATAATCATTTATGAGTAGTAATTAGAATTAGTAATTGCATTTAAAAAAAATTTAACTGTTTTTCTTCTGTTATATTAATTTGTTGTTTTATTAATTATTTTTCTTCTAGTGTCATTGACCTATATTCTAACGTTATATTGATTTTTTTTAATTTTATAATTTCTTGTGTCATAATTTAGAATTTATTTTACAAATCTCTTATTATTGTTTGATTTTGTGGTTGTTTAAATCGTAAAAAATTTCTTTTTATTTTTATTAATTTTACTTCTTGATTAATTCGTTTTGTCTTCTGTACTAATTCATTAAGTTTATTGATAAATTTAGCTTTTGATTAGTGCTAAGTTTAATAAATTTTAACATGAATTAGACATTTATAATTTTTAATAAATAAAATTTGAATCTTAATTTCTTTCTAATTTAGAAGAATTTAAATTAAACAACTATTTTGATTAAAATACACTTATGAAGGTTTTTCCTCAATCTTTATTGTTGATATTTTTGTTTACAAGAGAGTTAGGTGAAAAGAAAGTAAGAAAGAAACAAGATTAATCGAAGAACAGAATTTGTGCACTTTTTGCTTGAGTGAAACTGTAACAGACAAAAGCTAGTCACGGCCTAATTTTTGTTCAAACAAAATGTTTCTTGCTTGAGGAAAAATACCTTCCTTTAGCATGAAGTACTCATTTCAATTGAGCAAATTTATTCTCACTCAAGCGAGAATTCATTAAAACACCTGTAAAGAAAAGAAGAAACAAAGAAAAATAGGGATACAAGAAGCAAAAAGAGAGAAGAATAAAACAAACAGGGAGAAGTATTGACGAATCTTTCTTTGTCCATTTTCATCTCTTTCTTTGTTATAATGGATATCATGAGCGACTAATTTCACTTATGAAATTAGATGTGATCTTTAACTTTGATATATTTTGATGATTTCTATATATAGTTATCTAATTCTACAGATGTTGATAATTTTTTTAAATTGTTCTACATCTAATTGTA